AAAAAACTCATAAAATGTCTTTAGATAAAACCTTCCAAATGAATCTTGACCTTGAAAATATGAACAATAATCTTTCTCAAGAAAATTTTACACCTGTTTTTGATGATGATGATGACTCTTTGTCTATTGTAGATTTATATCTAGATAATCAGTCAGTAACAGAAACAAGTGCTAGAGACATAGCAGAAACTAGTGCTAGAGGTATAGCAGAAACTAATAATGAAGACCAAGAACAAGCTACTGAAGAACACAAACAGTACTCAGAAGAACAAGAACAATGTTTTCTGAAATGACAAAGAACTATACATCCTCTCTGAACCTATTTTAGCTGGTCTGCAGACAAGAAGTTTGCTTTTTGCAATTTATGTCACACCTGGTATAGTAAAACCACTGGAATTAGCACAATTAAACACTATTTTGAAACTCACTATAAAGAAGACTATGATAGACTTCAGTCAACATTAGGAATGCAAAATGTTGAACCTTATGGTTTTCACGATAAAAGAAAAGTTAAATGACTTAATGGGCTTCTTATTCGTTGGATCATTTGTGATCAACAGGCTTTTCAGATTGTAGAAAATGAAGATTTTCGCAAATTAATTTCAGCACTTGATCTATGATTTAAAGTATCATCAAGACATACAATTTCTGATCATATTTTATGCATATATAAGCAAGAATGAGCACAATTATGCAGTTTTTTTCAAAACTTCGATTGTAAGGTTGCAATGACTGTTGATACTTGGTCTGCTTGTACCAACCAGGCTTACCTTTCTATTACATTACATTGAATTGACAATAATTGGTGTATGCAACGTATTCTTCTCAATTTAGTTCCTTTATATGAACGGCATACTGGAATTTTTATTGCTGAAAATATAATAGAGCAAGTAGAGTATTTTGGGCTGAGTAAACAGTTGTTGTCTTTAACTATGAACAATGCTGCGAATATGGATGCATGTGGTCATTATTTAGCAACCCTACTTGAATCATGTTATAATAATACAAATTTTTGTAGAATTAGATATGCCTCTTATATATTAAATCTTACTATTAAAGAAGGAATTTCAGTTCTTGATAAGTCTGTAAAAAAAGCTTGTGAATTTACTAGTCATATTCACTGCTCTCAGCCTAGCTTTGAAGAATTAAAAAGGGTGTTTATGATGAAAAATAAACAATTTCTTGTACCAGATCTGGATGTCGATACCAGATAGAATTCAACATATCTTATGCTCAACAAACTTTGTTGAATCTGAGAAATAACTGATATTTTGGTGGCTTCATTACCTGAGCTTAGAAACTTATATCTAACTGATAATGATTAGAAACAAATAAGTGTAAGGTTTTTTTTTGAGTATTATATTATATGTAAATAATAACATATATATTTATATAAAATTCATCTTATAGTTGATCATGAAGCTTTTGAAACCGATATATGAAGCAACTAAACTTCTTTCTTCTTCAAGCCACCCAACACTTGGGGACTTAAGAATGATTTTTTATGTAATTATAGAAGTTCTGAATAATTCTCAGATTGAAGAAGATACGATTAAAGGTCAAATTGCAAAAAAAATTAGTAGAAAAATTGATTATTATTGGAATGAATTGCAAACATATTTTCATGAAGCAGTTCTTCTCGACCCATTGACCAAATTTACAACCTTTGAACATAGTACTCAGAGGGATGATGCACTATGCAAAATTTGATCAATATATCAAACTTATATACCAGCGGAAGAAAATACTATATCACAAGCTGAAACTCAAACTGAAACAACATCTGCACGTGACTATTTTAGACGACAAATAAAGCAAATACATCATAGTAGTTTTACATTACATAATGATATATTGGATGAATATTTTAATGCACTCGATGAAGATGTAAATGTTCTTACTTATTGAAAGATGAAATCTTCATATTCACGTTGGATGCCTCTTGCTCGAATGGCACGTAATTATTTGATTATTCAAGCAACTAGTGTAACTAGTGAGCAGATTTTTTCAATTGCTAAACATACTATAAGTAAAACACGAAATCGTATAGATGCAGAAAAAGCATGTGCAAGCCTTTGTCTTAAAACATAGTATGAAGCAGGAATGATTAATAACTGGAGTAGTGGTGGAAATCAGTTTTCTTAACAAGTTTTTTTAGTTGATAATTATGAAGCACCAACCAATTTTTTTTGCATATTTTTGTTTTATAGACCTACAACTTTTTTTTTAAATAATTTTGGACTATAAACACATTGATTTTTTTTACTATTTTAGTTAGGTAATAAGCTTTGCAGCTAGCTTGTTTTAATCAATATGGTTTGTTTTATTTTATCGCATGCATTCATTTAACAATTTTGCTAATTTGAAAATAATATCATTTAGTTTACCAAATATAATATGATAATATCAATATTAATAAATTTGAATAAAAGAGTTATCGTTGCTTGATAAATATATAATTAAATAACTTGTAATTAGCAAATCAACTTATTCACCTTTTACTAAGTGCTTATTTTGCTGTAAAGAATTTAAAACTGATGATTAAAAATGAAACAACATTAAGAACAACATTGGTTAATACATTGATCGATGTTTCTAAAGATTTTGTGACCAGATCCATAAAAGCTAAAGCAGCATAGTTAATAAATTATCATAAACCTATAATATATAGCACTGCAAAAGTTATAGCAAAATCATATGATTTTATTGTATAGCAAGTTATGATGCAATCTTAATTTGTTAGTGTGTATATAGTTTTGTTAGTATGAAACTTTGATATTTTGATTCATTTATTCAATTTCCGACTAATTAAAAATTTGTCACTAATCTATTGATTTAGGTGCTTGAGAACAACTTTCGTCTAACAACTATAAATCTAACATTTATTGTAACTAAGGGTGTTCTTAAGTAATTCTCTCAATATGATCTGATAGTGATGCTCAATTACTACTATTAATTGAAATAATGATTGTGATTTTCATAACCCAGCTAGGTCAAATTTAGGAACTTCTAAAATAATTTTTTTATAATTTTTAATAATCGGATATATAAAAATTTTTTTTTTAAAAAAAAAATGACTAGCTGGGTCTATTTAAAAGCTTCATATTATGAAAACCAAGTAATTAAATTTATATGATATAATATGAAAAAAATTTTAGAATTTAATCTAAATGGCATTTAATTAGTACTTAATTGATACTAGTATGCTTATTTTAAACTAATTCAATTAATAATTATAACATATAGTTGATTAAATGAGCATAACTTTCAAATAAGACTTCGATGTGTTATATATACACATATCTTATATATCGCTTATGTAAATTAACGTGCCAAGATTGATAACCATTATTTATGATCATATAGAATAACATCTTTAAAACATTCTAACTCCTGTTCTAGCAAAGCAACTTTAATTCTGTAAAATGCAAATAGTGCACAAATAGTATACTTTTAAAACTATGTTGCCATAATTGGAATTATTATGTAAGTTTTAGTAGTTTGTTATAACTTAATCATTTAAATAACTATTAAAATTTAATTATAGCCACATTAATGAAATGAAATGAAAAATGTCTTAATATAGTTTTAAAAGCGTATTATTTATCTATCATTTACAAATTACAGAATTGAAATTGCTTTACTGGAGCAGAAGTTAGAACATTTTAAAAATGCTCAATTTTTATTATAAAATTACTATGATAAATTTTTTCAATAAATTGATCGAACTATAATAGTAAATCATTTGGTATCTAATACCTCAAACTTAGGTTTATGAACTAGAGTTTGAACTTTAAAGTTAATCTCAAGTTCATACTTTAAGTTTATGAACTCAAGTTTAAACTTTAAAATTAAACTGAAGTTTATAAACTTCAGTTCAGTTCATTTTTTTCTTTGAACTTTATGGGACTGAACCAAAACTGAACTGAACGAACCACTTAACATCTCTATTGGAATTCTAATAGATGAAATTTGAGAAAAACATGTTGAAGCAGTCAAAAGATATAGCAAATATATGATAGAAGTAAAACTATACTTCAAACAACTAGTACTGATAATAATAGGAGTATATATCTCACTAAATGACAAGGCAACTAGCAAGAAAGTACAGCAAAAAATTGTGGAAATAGTAACAAACAAGAAAAAGCATACAGAAATAATTATACTTGGGGATTTCAACCATACAGTGAACAATATATTAGACAGACTGCATCCACAAACAACAGACTATAAAATCTGCCAATCTTCAATTAGCTTAAAAGGCAAGACTTTGCAGACTCTTTCAGAAAGTTGCACTCAACAGAAAGGACATACACATGGTCAAGTCAAGAAGCAGCAACAAGAATTGATTATATCTGGTTGTCAGAAACAATTGTAGCTGGTCTTCAAGAAGCAAATGTAGAAGAAGCAGAAGGTATAACAAACAGTGACCACAAGATAGTTACAACAGTCATATGGTTAGAACATGTAATTGCGAATCAGAGCTATGCAGAAACCAAACATAAAGTCCAAATAAAAATAATGTATCTGTATAAGGAAGCAAAGCAAGAAGACTGAGAAAAATTTGCCAAAAAGCTTCAAGTACAACTAGAGTGAAAAAAAGCATTGAAGCATTTAGAAGAAGGAAGAAGAAGCAGCAGGTATTGTACAGATATGCTAAATTTCATATGGAATGCAATAGAAGAAGTTATAATAGATGCAGCAAATAAAAAGATTCCAAAAAAAAAGATATTCAATACAAGAACAAACAAAAGACATCATTGGAAAAAGCCACAACAGCATAAACACATAATTAAATTATAACAAATAATCAAAAAAGCAAAAACAAAAAGAAATCAAGAAATAGGAAAAGAAAAAAAGAAAGAGATAAACAAAAAACTTAAAGATATCAGTAAAGAAATAGGAGCAGTGCTACCAAAGCTATACAAACAGTGGTCAGAAGCTTGGATAGAGGATATAAAAAGCTGGCAAAGAATTTTAAAAGACAAAAGAAAAGAAGAGTGAAAACAAGCCCAAAGAAAACAAATAGAAGAAAATATAAATAGAAGATGTGAAATGATAAAAACTGATTAAGGACGAATGATTGCCAGCCTTCTGAACAAACCATACAAAAAGATAGTTTTGGACAGATTTATAACACAAAGCACAGAGAAAACTAGTCTAATGACAGAACCTAAGGCTGTTTTAGATGGCCTAGAAAAACATTTTAAAAATCAATTTAGAAAGTGAAGAACCAAACTAGAAGAGATGCTCAAAGAATGAATAGAAGTATATAACCCAAAAGTGTAGATTAAGGAGTCCTGGTATAAGAAGCTAGAAGAAAAAATAGAAGAAGAGAAATAGGAAGATACATTAAGAGAACTCAAAGCCAACACAGCTTCAGGAATTTCAAATAAGCTACATTTTAATAAAATGAGCAGAAAAAAAATCACAAAAGATTTTCAGGGCCTTCATAAATCTGGTTTTAAAAATAAAAGAAATGCCCAAAAAGTGGAAAATAGCGCAAGTTTATCCAATTCCAAAAGACATAAATTGGGAATATAATCTGAACAATATTAGACCAATAGCATTAATTGAAACCTTTAGAAAGCTAGTTACAAAGGTGGTAACAAGAAGGCTAGCCAAGATATTCACAGAAAGAGAAATACTCAAAGGACCAAATTACGCAGGCTTGCTTAGCAACTCTACAGAGCAACCAATACATATACTGAACATGATAATAGAAGAAGCACAAGAGAAAAATAAAGAAATATGGATACTTCTGCAAGATATGAAGAAGGCATTTGACTCAGTCCCATT